TTGATGACGTGACCTGCTGTGCTTCTAGCCAAAACTTTGATAACAAAATGTCTCTCAATTTATAAGCAAAACCTGCTTCCCCATTTGAATCGTTGAATACCTACCCTCAAATCGGTTGCCCCTTTTTTCTCAAAATCCAATCCCAATCCTTACAATCACGATACCCAGGTAGGTATTTAAGCTTGGATATTGATTGGTCTAGATCTCATTTAGCGTGGTTTGACCTCCATTGCGCGAACACTCCCAAATTTAGAACTTCAATTCCCCTTTGTAAAGCCCCACCACATTAAGACTACAAGCGATCTACATTCGACGATATACATCTATAACCATCCATACTCGTACACACCAATCGATAATCTAATTTCGCTCACTGGATCCTCGCCACTCGCGCAAGACAATCAATATCTGAAAATACGTCACTGAGCAATTGAGACTTGGAGCGCAAAGAAGCCTGATTAGGCAGTTTCATCGACAACGGGACTTGGAGAAATTAGAGAGACAGGAAACGCACACTCAGCAATTGATCCAACGCCAATAGCAGAAATGACTTCAAAGGCTATGTGGGAGGTTGATCCGGAGACAAGGTCAAAGGTAATCTCCTCTATGGGGCGCCCATCTATGAGCGCAGACATCTATTGCCTCGTTTCTGATAGAAGAACTCATACTAAACATATCTTGAACTCAGCTCCTTGATATTTCCAAAACCAATGGCAACGACCGATGTATCGACTGTGGCGCACCTTCTCCTCAATGGGCTTCCCCAAAATTCGGCGTTTTCATCTGTCTCTCTTGCGCTGGAGTTCACCGCGGATTGGGGGTCCACATTAGTTTTGTAAGAAGTATCACAATGGACGCTTTCAAGGCGCAAGAAATCGAGCGAATGAGAGAAGGAGGGAACAAGACTTGGAGGGAATTTTTCGATCAGGATGACAGGAACGTCATGAGTGGTATCACGTAAGTGGACTTTATTTGCGACACAATTATTGCGGTGGGCGGTGGGCAGTGGCACATAACTGACACATTCACAGTTGGGACGATGCAACTATTGCCGAGCGATATTCTGGCGAAGTTGGAGAGGAATACAAAGAACGACTCACTGCCAAAGTCGAGAAACGCGAATACGTCCCCGTACCAAAAGCCCCTGCTTCAAAATCTACAACTGCTGCCACATCTTTCTCCAACCATAGTTCTAGCAACTCCCAATCACAAACTCCTCTTGGCACAAGAAACGCCAGTCCATCTAATGGCAAAGTGAAGGTTGACGATAGGTATTTTGCTGGGCTTGGAGCTGCGAATGCGAATCGATCCGAGGATTTACCTCCTTCACAAGGAGGCAAATATGGAGGATTTGGAAGTCAACCAACTGAGAGGGAAGATAATAATGCAAAACTACCAGGTTTGGAAGATTTACAGAGAGATCCTGTCGCGGCACTTACGAAGGGCTTTGGATGGTTCACAACTACTGTGGGAAAGACGGCAAAGACTGTTAATGAAGGGTATATACAACCTACTGCTGCGAAGGTAATCTCATCTCCCTGACACCACATCTCGATTGTGGCTTCTTCATGCCCGCATAATGAATCAACTGACAACTTTTCCTTTCAGATCGCCGAATCCGATGTAGCCAAACAAGCACAACTCACCGCCGCTCAAGTTGCCCGAAATGCGCAAACTGGAGCTAAGAGCGCCGCAGATGGATTCAACCGTTTTGTTGAAGGTAGTGGTGGCGGTCCTTCTAGGAATGTTCCTATCGATGAGAGCAAGAAGGATTTCTGGGATAGTTTTGCTGATGCTGGGACCAAGAGGCAACATGCACCAAGTGCATCAATTGGAACTGCGGCTGTCAAGAGGAATGGCGGAGGTGGAACTGGAAGTGGCGTTGGGGCAAAGAAAGATGATGATTGGGAGAAGTGGTAGATGGGGACTTGGAAGGGAACTTGATTGAAGAGACAATGGGGATATGTGGATAAAGAATAACGGTTGGGTGAATGTATATACATATAGACCATATGTTCAAAAGAGAAGTTTTAGCAAGACATGCGAGAAAGAATTGAAGATTTCACGTTTTAATGGTATTTAGCTACATATATATGTCTCTTTCAGAAACAGGCCAAGGTGTAGGTAGTAATGTATATTAGATTTTTATTATGGGAGTCGGTTGTTGCAATCGGACTTGAGCTTTCAGAATGATATTGGAATTGGGGATTGGACAAGTGCCCTGCTCTTACGATTTAAGAAGATCGATATGTGTCTTATTGGATGAATATGTTGCGGTTTTCTGAGCCAAGGATTCTTATTCTAGATACATGAATTTTTCAATAGCTTGCTGTTGTCTCAAGTTATCACGACACTACCCATATCTCCTTCTCAATTTCAAGCAGCAGTATCTGTTTACAACTACAAGAGCGATGCCGTAATGACCAGTAGCATCTTTATTGTACACCATCGCCCACTTCTCTTCTCACAAGCATCGGACTTTGAAGCCTACAACCGAAGAACACGTAGGTCAACAAGTATCTTTACCTCTGGGTCATCAAATATTACATCTACTTCTCCTTCAGGAGCATGGTTGAATGGACAGTTTCTTATGGCCGTGGCTCAAAATCAAATATCGTGGTTATGATTCTGAAACATCAACCAACAATCTCCAAAATTCAATCTTTCTTTACCGTGGTCAACTTCCCACCCGACCAGACGACCCGGAAAAGTTTGTCAAAGCGCTTGCGCTTATTTCCTCCACACCTTATTGTTCTAGATGAAGTGTTCTTACTTCATGTGGCCGCGGTTAGTCTAGATGTCGAGGGATTGTCAACCGCTTCCAACAGACCGAGATCCTATCGCGCGCGTAGAATATTACACCGCCACTATTCATATCCTTGATAAGTCTCTATGTTCCCGTTGAATTGTGGATTAATAATTAAGCCGCGTTTGATATTAGAATAGCATCAAAATAGCATTAAGTAAAATTCGGACGATATTCTAGACTTACTTTTTTTTGGCGTTGCCGAGATACCCCTACATTCTTTTGAAAAATCTCCGAACGGATACTCACTCATAATTATGTTACTTGATCACCACTCCACGTTCGTAAATTCGGATGAGGAGCCTCTTTTTCCACAATTTCGCAACCTTCCACCAGAGCTCCGTCTACATGTCTGGAAATATGCGCTTCCAAGCGGTCGAACGCTCAAGGTAAAAGTCGACGCCTATGACGATACGCGAGCTTCCCTGCAGGGAAACTTCTCGGCTATTCCCTCTATCTGTCACGTCAATTCCGAATCTCGATGCTTAGCTCTGAGTATCCTTCGCAATGGCCTCGGTCCCAATACTGAAGAATCCGATTTCTACTGGAACCCCAATACCGATACCATCTACTTCCCCCCCTCTGCATCCTGGACCAACGGCACCATGGAAAAACATCTCTTCAAAGAAAAAGCTCCCGCTTCGTATCGAAATGATGGCATCATGCCTGTAGTGCAACATATCGCCTTACCCCTCAACATCTGGCTGGCGCAAGGTCTCTATCTCGAGCCCCTCCCAGCCCGCTGGCTCCTAGATTGGCTGTATAAATTCCCCGCGCTGCAATCCGTTACTCTGCTCATCGAACCGTTTGACCAATGGCTCGGTCTCCCCAACACCTCCATCGTCTACCATGAACCGCTCGACGTACCGGTTTCGCAGCTGCTCCATCACAAACCTTCGGAAATGAAAGATATGCTGGAGAAATCCTTACGTGAGTATCGCGCAGCGAATGATCCGGCTTGGGAACCGCCGGTGGTGGAGATACTGGTGCTGGGGATGAAGAAATTTAAAGGGTCGAAGAAGTGTATTAAGAAGAGAACGAATTTGGATCGCGAGGATGTCACGGGGGTTTATGAGCATAGGATTTCGAGGGAGGAGAAAAATGCGAGGAGGTTGGTGGATAGGTGGCCGGCGGAGATTCATGCGGTGGAGCAGTGGAGCTTGATGGGGCAGCCGGAGGAGGAAGGGGATTTTTAAATTTCTTGGGATTTGGGATTTGGAATTTGGGAGGGGGGCGGGAGTGTTCACGCTTGGTTGCCGTATCTCTGTTGGTGGATAGATGCGGAAAAGTTGTGGTGATTAGTTTCATCTGGGCGTTGTGGGGAGCGAATAGGAACCCATTCGTGACGGTAGATAGGCTGGCATCGTTAATAATTATCGAAACAATTTTGAACACCTGTTCGACTTTAGCACTTGAGTTCCAATGTGTTGGTAATTAAATCTCGATTGTTATCTTGGAAGTTCATACATACTGGTTTTTGATAAGACTCGAGTGAGTTTCGGGTAATCAATTAGTAAATTCGAGAAAATTGACATCTTGAGCTTCTGAGGGGTCAGATTACACTTGTATGACGATGATGGTGAAGTGTGATAGAGAGATTAAGGGATAGTGAGTCCTGGAAGTAAATTCGGTGTAATGGGGAAGAATCTGATATCTTCTCCACGATCATTTGGATGATGGGTTATTGTATAGGGTGAATCTATCCTGTTGACGTTTAGTACTTTCAGTGGAAATTGGTCAGATGCTTCTTTCAAGATTCTCTTCAGCGAACCTCATACCTTAAGATTGCTTCGTGGGTAATTTCTTCAGATAATAAAAAGTGGCGACAGTGTTCCAAAGCTCCCAGACTTGGATGTAAAGTTATAAAAGGAAGGCGTCTGGTGGAAACCCCTTGCTCGGAAGAATCATGTGATTAAATGATGTTTGGAAAAGCGTGTGATTTGATCAAGAAGGGATAAACCTACGGGATACAAAGTGGAATCCGGAAAGACTTTCGCGCAGTAATTTCTCGAAAGTTTGCAGAATGCAAGCGGTGGATGAAGAGACAAGAACGACTGAGGTACAGGATTCAGTCGGCTGAGTTATTGTGATACTATCTTCCACATATCCCTTTCGTCTGCGACTCGAGAGCATTCGTAGCTATCGAGATAACTTCTACAAAGTCACCAAATTTATTGTACTTACACGACTCACGATGGCTTCAGGCATCCCATTTCAATATCTCCCTTTAGAAATACTATCAGATATCCGATTACTTCAAATATCGCTTTCACCAGACTCGAAACATTTGCGTGGCAAATTCACAAACGTCTCATTAGATGTGGTTCCACCAACACAAGTGCCTTACGCTGCTATCTCCTATCGTTGGGGATCAGCTGATATGTGCAATCAGATATGGTTTGATGAGGAACATTGTCTGTGTTTGAATAGTTCGGCTGGGACAATTCTGAGATCTTTTGCTGCTCATTTATATTTAGGTTTTGAGCCTTGCTTTCTATGGATCGATGCTCTCTGTGTTAATCAAAATGATGATATTGAGAAAGGATCACAAGTGCGTCAGATGGGGAGAATACATTCTTTCGCGCTGCAGGTATTCGCTTGGATTGGGGATGAATCTACAGATAGTGATCTTGCCATGGATTTTGTGGTTACATTATACGAATTGATGATATAATTTGGAACCTCTACTTATTCGGATATAGTTTCAGTCCCTGGCTGTGAGCATAAATCTCCTGGCTGGAAATCACTTGATACTCTCCTACAATGACCATGGTTTTCCCGCACGTGGATCATTCAAGAAGTTGTACTAGGAACCGATGTTGTTTTGCTCTGTGGACAGAAAGCTTTGAATTGGAGAGCCCTGGGGTTCGTGGCGAATATGATAGTAGGGATGGACTTAGAGAAGCTATTATTGTTTTGTCAAGATTGATCGTGTTCAGATGGCTTGGGTGCGTCTGCACTCATCTATCAAATAAAAGAACTTAGAGAGAAGGGTAGTTCTGTTACTCTAGAGTACGCTTTGTTTTAAGGCTTGGAATTTAAGGCAACAAACCTAAGAGACAAAGTCTGCGCCTTGTTTGGTATTTCGACAGATATTGAGGCTATGGGAATAGATGACAACTATAATGCCATAGTCAAAGAGGTATATACCGGTGCTACAACTCGGATCTTGAATCAAGGGTCCTCTTTGTCACTTCTCAACGCAGCCGGAATCGGAAGATATCGCAATGATAAGCAGATCTCCATCAATAATGATCTCCCTAGCTGGGTCCCAGACTTCTCGCATTTTCCAGACTCTAATCTTCTTTTTATTCCTGCTAATTTGGCTGACTGCAAAATGACGGAAGCTTCCGAAGCAAAAAAATCTCTGATTCATATCAATTCGACAAATCCAGATAGAGTTTCGATACAAATCCTCGGACGATCTGTGTCTCATGCCACTGCCATCTACCCCTCTAGATCTATGGTCGTGTACAAGAACAATGTTGGCGAGTTCCAAGTCGAGCTGAAACAACGTCGAGATTGGATCATTGAGACAATGAATTACGCATCAAGACTTGAACCTTATTTGAGTGACATACCTTGGCATCAGGCATACTCACGCCCTCTTGTTAATAATGAACTGCCCCTTCGTCTCCATGGAATGCCAGTAGAACCTCCATATTCGGAGCACTTGGATGTTTTCCTCAACTTTCTGAAAAATATTATAGAAGCTGATGCGCAAGAGGTACGCGAGATAGAGATGGCAGGAGGATTAATTGAAGCATTTGAAGACAACGTAGAAAAGGTGCGGAAGTTTGCATTGGGGGTTTCTTTCCGTGGACGTATGTTCGAGACGGATAATGGGTATTCGGGGATGGGCCAGGAGGGTATGGAGATGGGTGATGAGGTTTGTTTATTTTATGGGGGACAGACGCCGTATATTGTTCGGGAGGTGAAGGAGTATCAGAACAAGGGTTGGAATCAAACCTCGGGACATGAGTTTGTGTTGGTTGAAGATTGTTATATTGATGGGTGGATGGATGGTGAAGCTATGGAGATGGGTGAGGAGAAGAAGTTCATGCCGGTGTGAACGTCCAGTATTGAAATGCTGATTGTTCCATAGTCGTGAGGCTTGGTAATTTCTCCAGCCTACATAGTTTAGTTATTCTATACGTATTTGTAATAGAACTATATATCCGGATCGGCGTGGAAGTAAATAATTTGATGAAGAATTGAAATAAGCCAAGACAGCTAGATATACTATCGGTGTTAATCGTAGTCTTTCCGAGCCCCAGCTTCTCGGCAGTCTTCTTTTTGTCAGGCGATATTTTACTCCAGTTTGAATATCTGACTCCATGAAATTTCAGTCTGTTTGGGATAGAAAGTGATGTATTCATTATTGGTATGGTGCGTGGTATTGCTAGGCTCACAGAGTCTAGAACGTATGAAAGGGGAAATAATATTGGATGGGTTTGCGCATTGTGGGCTCTCCTTCTCAAGACGATTGGTGTATCATCATATAATTTGGCAAAAAGAAATCATTCGTGAAGATAAGCCAGCTAAGGCTATCGGTTGGAGCCACTTGTCATCTTGCTCAGCCACAACGTACGTGGTAACCTACCCCTCATCTCATCTGTCGTTGACCTTCAATCCACGTTGGTTCTCTTGAAGAAAACACAAATTAATCGAATTCGAAAGATTCTTGAAGACGTTCTTGATCTATAATGTCTCAACGAAATATCGACAAAGCTAGCCGCTTACTGTTGAAATCTTCACCTGCGGATACAACTTCTCATGTTGAGCTTTGTCTCACATGTAAGAAGTTTTAGTTTTTGTCTGGATTCGTTCAAAAGATCAGGTTGCAAGGTAGAGAGCTTTGGGCATCGGCTCAAAGCCACTGTAACTGGTGCGCAAGTCTCTGGTGGCAGATTACATGTCGAAGTCCATTTCGTGAGATGAACGAATCTTCATTACGGCAACTTTACATAAAATATGACTTGACTGTGACCCCAAAAGAGGAACGCAATTCTGGGGCTGTTTCAGTTGCTGGTAGATTAGAATGTTACGTGTGGCCGTCTCAAGCTCGTTCAGTTCGGCCATATCACTTTACCCTCCAAATAGTGAATATTTCTGGTATGTCTTCGCCTTCGCCAATTTTGTGACTTCGGGGGAACTCCTTTAATATAGAAAAAGATACAGACGGAAAAGCCTCACGTTACAAAATTCCCGAAAAGACTTCCTCCGCTGCAAGTCGTATACTCGCCTCACAATGGATCAGTAACTGCACGCAAAATCATAAGAAATGCCGCATTGACAAGATCTCATGGTTACCAACGCGGCTCGTTAACGTTGGGCTTGATGGCGGTGCAACAAGGCTTGTTGAGACAATCATACTCTCAAAGAACCAGTATTCACCATATTTGGCATTAAGTCATAGATGGGGTGCTACACCCAATCATTCAAGTCGACTCTCAAGCGTTAACAAACTAGCATGGATGAAAAGCATCCCAACAAATCAAATGCCTGCCACTTTCCAAGACGCTATCCAATATACTAAGAGTATGAATATTTCATACATCTGGATAGATTCCTTGTGTATTATGCAGGACTCCCCAGAAGATTGGAGCACCGAGGCAGCACTTATGGACAAAGTGTATGCCCAGTCTTTCTGTAATATCGCTGCATCTTATGCTTCTAATGAAAATAGTCTCAACACAGGACTCTTCTACACTCGCACTCCAGATGATTTAGCTACTACTTCAGTGAAGTATAAGCTTATCACGAAGAATGACTGCCAAGGAATCTTTGGAATATCTCTAAAATCGAATTACATCATTGATGATACCGAATTTGCACTCTATGGAAGAGCTTGGGTTCTCCAAGAACGGCTTTTGAGTCCTCGAACGATACACTTTTCCAAACAGTTGATCTGGGAATGCAGAGAGGAAAGGGCTTCTGAATCCTTTCCTATGGGTATATCCTTGATGAGTGATGATAGGCGAGACCATGATTTCTCGAAAGATTGGAGATCGAGTTTAGAAGTTTTTGGATACAAGTTTTGGGCAGACACTGTAGGTCGATATGTAAAATCCTCTCTCACATATTCATCCGATTATCTGGTAGCTATTAGTGCCATAGCCCGAGAATACGAAAGAGAGCTAGATGATGTCTATCTTGCAGGACTATGGAAGAAAGGGCTACCTTTCAATTTGCTTTGGAAAACAGATAATAAGTCTTCATTTTCTTCAAGACCGAATGCTTATCGCTGTGAGTTGTACATTACATATCTGGGCCTGTCCTAATCGGATATCCTAACGAATCTTCAGGTCCCACTTGGTCATGGGCATCACTGAACATTTGTTATCCTGCCAAGTTGGAGATTTTGATCCCCGACGGTGAAGCTCTTGCGGAAGTTCTTGAGGCCAAGGTTTTCAGCCCACCAGGTCGCACTTACACTGAATGCTACGATGGCCATATTCGGTTAAAAGGCATACTTTATTCTGTCGGATACAAGGATGTCCATGAATGGCTTCGTGGTGATGGTCATAAACTTTTCTTCGGCAAAGAAATAGAACCATGTAGGCGCGTTAGCGCGTTCCTTGACATCAAAATTCAAAAATCTGATCGTTCAAGGTTATATTTAATTCCTATTGTATTGGAAAGTCGGCCCAGATTCATTTGGTGCCTCATACTAAGATCTATTTTGATGGGTAGCATGGAATTTGAGCGAGTGGGTGTTTTGATTTTCTCGCTTGAAGATTTGGGCAAATATGACGAGCAGCTGCGCCCAATCATGGAATGGGCCGAAGCTAAAGATCCACTTTCAAGGGACCTCAAGACTATAATCATATATTAATCTGAAGCGACTTCTTTCAAGAGAAAGAAATGTTGCAGTCAATTACGATATGATACGTGTTTTATGTTGCTAATTGAGATGTCTGGGGACAGTACCAGAGACATTTGTGTCTTTTCATTTCATTTGTTGACACGCATTTATGACATAGGTCAGGAAACGAATCATACTATCTGTTGGTATCACCATGGGGATGGTGAAGTCAATATAGTACCTTGGTTCACATTGTTGTAATATTGCTTGAGGTTCTAACAGCTAGGGCTACGAAACGTACATGCTATAGTGTGGTCACATGATCCCTGTCCCGACACTATCAGTTACTGCACAATCAATTGGATATCTTTAAACTCGAGCCGTATATGTATAAATCGTCTCTATTTGAGAATCTACTAAGCAAAAAAATATGAGTCGAGTGCTGAGTAATACTGCTCACCTGGATGGAATGCAGTACTGCGAGAAACAAAAGATGGAACCTCGTCACTGAATGAGTCTATCCATCATCGTACAGTTTTGGCATCAAACCCTCACGGAAAAACGATTATTAGACTATGAATTTGATATACGGATATAAAAGTCTATCAAGAATCGTCTCTTACCACTTATGTTCACAGACACATCATCTCTAGCGTTTCTTCAACACCACACAAAATAGCATTCAAATATTCTTACTCTCAACCCCTTTTGAAACCCTCTTCCCATCATCCCGAAGCTATTCCAATCCCCAAACCCATCCCAATCGTCCCCCTTCTTGCAATCCTCTGTCTTTCCCTTTCCATAACCACACACCCCGTGATTAGAACTCCCATTTGAAATCCTCGTTTCTCCTCTTCCCCACCACTAATACTCCCCCTGTACTGTATCCCCATCATATCTTTCACCGCAAAAACATCAAACATCATCACCGCATACAGATCCCCCGACTCCTTATCCCTCAACTCCGCATTCGGATTCGAGAATGAGAGTTTTTGCGTCGTCGATGGGATTTTTTGTTGCCAAACCAAAATCCTCCCTTTGCCCTCTTCCTTTCCATTTCCATTCCCCCCATCATGACCTCCAGGAAACCTCCACTCATACCTCCCCTCATTTTCCCTCCCCCTCCCTCCCCCAAAATGCTCTATCCCCGATTCCAATTCTCTCTGCACCCCTTCTATCCCCAATTGCTGTACCTCTATCTTACGATTAAATTTATCAAACTGTGCACCTCCTAACATCACCTCCTCTTTCCTGTCCTCATTCTTGATACTTCCGCTGTATATATACATACTCGTAATTCTCTTCATGCCTTCAATCGTCATTTTAAAAATGGGCAATGGTTTGGTGTTTGGATAGCGAGGAGAATCGTAGATCAGGAGAGTGGTTTTGAATGCGTTAAAGATGTTTCCTGGGATGTAGTCGATGGTTAATTCGGAGAGGTGGGCAGGAGATGAATGGGCTTCGGATGGTATGGGTGGGTGTGGAGTGGGGGAATAGGGGGGAGGGGGTTGAGAAAGCGAATTGTTGGTCGAGTAACGAGGGAGTGGAGATGTGTTTGGAACTGAGTTTGCGGATTCTTCGTGATCGTGATCATGATCGTGACCTTCTCTCCTTTTGAAAATTGAAAAAGTCATTTTTTCTCCTTTTCCTTTGGTGCCTCAGCTGAACAGGATGTAAAATTATATAAACTCCAAACACCACTATAATTGATTATTGAATATCAGAAATCTCAATGAAAAATTATAAAGCGCGTAGCGTAGCAAAATCAGACATGTAATCATGAATTTAATCATTTTCAAGTACATACATACATACATATATATACCCCCCAATCATCAAAATCCCTCTCAGAACGGGGCGAAGCGAGTGATCCAGTGGCTTAGAACATTTACGCAGTATCGTGTGGAAGGAACACCCTGTATCTAACAGGTTGACAGCAATTCTGCCTCATGATTGATTCGCGAATATCTCATCTAATGGAGAATTTTATTTCAATTGATAATCTGACATCTAATCTATAGATTTTAATGCCTAAATTCTATAGGTGTGTTTATTGGATAGTGTTTTAGTAGTGTCGTGCCAATTAATCGGTACTAGATGGGGGTTTTAAACCAGATTTAGCCACCTCGATAGATATCATAATAAATCAACCATAAATAAAACAACTAAATTTAATAGCACAAATTCCAACTTCAACCTGTCTTTGGTCAAAGCATCACACCAAATATTATTGGATTCAAGATGGCAGCGAACGAATTGAATTGTTGAGGGGTTTCCGCCAGTGGTTGATCGTTGTAGGTACTGTAAGGCGGCGTTGATATACCCCGCCGAGCCCGCTTACTTTTCCGAGCTTGGATTCCCAGAGTAGATTGTGGCATTTCTAATTCTAGAAAGAGAAGGTCCCACAAATCTTAATCTTATAAGGCGAAAAGAGGTCGTCGTGGTGAATTATCGAAGCGACTATTAACGACAAGAAAGAAAGGTAGCTAGAACCAGATGTCTCCATCTGAACTGAGAAAGCTAGCTTTGCATCTATGTGCAAGTTGGTTGAGATGTAATCACGGGATGGATTATGGTACAGTAAGCACTCAATAATCAGAGATTCTCGACGTTCTCGAAGTAATCGCAGAGCAGGATACCTCCTACCGAGTTTCCAAATTCACTGAGTGAACGCCTCGATTTCCCAATTCTTAGAAGAGATCTTATGTGAATGATGAACTTATCTCGGGGCATCTCCAGAAACAAATGATCACATGTAGGATCTTACTTCTTGGCTACTAAGATCACAACAGTTTCTTAATATTAATATCTCCAAATTTTGGATCCAATATTACTGCTTCGTTGTCTCCGCAAGTACTTTATTGAGATAGAATCTTGTTGAAGTGCCCCTTCATATCTGACATTATCATTTCCTTGACTTCTTCAAGAAGAAAGAAAGTTCTACTATTATCAAGTCTTGAAACCCTGATTCCCAATCCCCAATTCCTACTCGCTCATCATTCTCATATCTCACCACACCGCACAGTACATCCAACATTCACAATGTCTACCCTCGAAACCAAACCTACCCTCGTCCTCCTCCCAGGAAGCTGGCACAACCCCCAAAACTACCACAAACTCGTTTCGGCACTCAAATCCCACTCCTACGACCTCCTCATTCCCTCTCTCCTCAGCATGAACGGTGCCTAACCACCCACCGCCGACTTCATCTATTCCTACATCTCCGATCTCGTCTCCCAAGGGAAACACATCGTCGTACTTATGCATTCCTACGGCGGCCAAGTTGGTACCAACGCTCTTACCGAATTCGCCGTTTCCACTCGAAATGCCCAAGGTCTATCTGGCGGCGTCGTCCATCTCCTCTACATCAGCGCATTCATGATGTTAGAAGGCGAGTCTATGATGGATAAAGTGCGGTTATTCGGGCACGAAGAACTAATCCCCGTCGTATTCACCATCGCAGAAGATGGAACCCACGTGCACAGTGATCATCGTACTCTTCTCATCGGATCAAATCCAGATGATAAAGTGACGGAGGCTGGAATTGAAGAATATATCTCGAATTTGAGTCGATGAAATGGAAATTCGATGTATCAGCCCTTGAAAGATAGAGCGGCGTGGAGAGATATCGAGACGAGTTATGTGGTCACGAAGATGGATATGACTGTGTTTTTGGATTTTCAAGTGAGTATGCTGGAGGCGGTTAAGAAGGAGGGAAAGGAGGTGAAGGTTTGGGAGTTGGAGACGGGACATTCGCCTGCTTTGACGATGATAGATGAGTTGGTGGAGATTGTTTTGGAGGTTGCGGAGAAGTGTTAGGAGGTGGTGTGTAGCTAGGTGATGATTCCGAAAGGAAACAGATTGTCTTTTTGATATTATGAGTTGAACAGTTTCTAGAAACTGTGGTTTACTTTTTCGAAGGGAAAGAAAGACTTTATAGATTCGGATCTCTTGATTTTAGAGAACACAATGGAGTTTCAAAAAGTTAAAAGTTTCAGTAATACATGCACCGTATGATGTTTTGAAACCAAAAAGTATAAGTTTCTCATATGATAGAAGCATCGAGTTATCGATATATCCCCAATCGAAATTGTGAGTTCCCCCCTCCACTCAAAAACTCGAAGAGTTATGATTTCGGGAAAGAACATTCTCCAGAAAAGCTATGATAGACAAATTAATCATCGAAGAGAATTGGAGAGGACGGTGAAACACATGTAAGACTCCCTGACATGTACAGCTGAAATATGAAATACCAGCTGAAAAACCATTCGCGACAGATTCAAAAGATTTGGTACCATAAAAGTCATCTATCTCATCGTCTTATGAAGATAATAGCATTGAACTACCCAATCACAGTCCTATAAACAAGACGGCCACTCTATCACCTCTCCAACTCCACATATGAAAGAAATCAAATTCATGCCCCCTCTCAAGCACTTCCCATCTCCCTCTCTACTCTCACCCTATCTCTCTCTCCTGCACCACCCTAAACCATTTATTCACACTCAGATACTCAACAAACCCCTCCTTCTATTTCCCTCTCCCCTTTAGCGCCACCCCATCCAACAAATCAAACAAATCCACCGACAACAATTCATCTCTGCCAACATATTCTCGCCTTGAAAACCCCATATCATCAGCCAGAACAGTATCTAGATCTGATTCAGCCTAAGAACTCGAGTTTCGTCGGGGATACTGAGACCTGTTAATCTGGGAGCCTTATTTTTAGCTAAGCTATACAATAAAGGTACCAGAAGGGACTTTGAAAAAATGGGATTTGGGATTGGTTGATACCTATAGTTTGATGAAAATTCAGTCCCTATTGTCTCAGTTGCGGAGGCAAAATAGCCTCGCTCATTCGATTGAACAAGCTGATTCGAAATATAGGGTTTCTGATCGTCTTTCTCAGGTATTACTTGTTTTCCTGTTTGATACTTTCTAAATTGAAATGTGAGAAGAACCTTCTTCTATAAAAATAACAAGAATGAGCAAAACAATCCACCAAAAGACAAAGATTACTTACCCAAATACCTACAAATTGCTCCACTTTCAAAAATACCAGTCCATCATCATTCAACAGCCACATTTCCAAACAACTGCAGCTTTCAAACTCCTTGTTCTCTCCTCTCCTTATTTGATATTAAGCCTTGTGATATCTGGCATCTTGTGGAAATCGTTATCGAAGCAAGGGTAGTAAACCACAAAGACGTGAAAACGGAGAGCGCGAAATCATACAAAACATGCTCTGCGTTTGGGAACGTTCTAATGGGCAGAGACAATACTTAGGAACAATCTTACGTGATGGTAGAGGGAGAGTGGTATGGCGTTGCAATACTTCAACTTTCAGCCACGTGAATCTCATTCGATCGAACCTCGGTGACTTTTTCGAAATTGAAAATTTAAAGCCATAAAACATACTTATTTTTTATGCTCTTAAGTCTCGAAAGGCCTTGTGCAGAACAAATTAGCTACTTTCGATTTCGATTTTGATTTCCACCTAAGATGACCCAAACGTTGCTTCAGTGAAAGGCCGCCATATCTACCCGCGCTGGAAATTCTGAAAGCCGTGATCACCGGCGTATGAAGTAGCAACCTAACTTATTCCTTCATCCAGTTGTTCGGCTCTAACGCAACGGCTTGTGTTTCAAGGTCGATAGTTGGTGCTTGTTGACCAAAAGCGGTTTGTTTATATTTAGATACCTTAACATTATCAATATTAATCTGCACACATTTATTACACTCTCGTTTACTCACTTCGGTTTGATGTTCTTCTCTCATTCGTTCGAAGCGTTAAAGATCGGGAGCTGGCATCTGTTGATTATAGATGGCTCTCTCATATTTATACACCTCAACATCATCACCATTAATCTCCATGCATCTAATCTTCTACACCCTCACCCCCTTACTTGACATAGAATTCCAATCCCTCATTCATTCGTATATCCTACCACAAAAGTAGATATCCCAATATCCATCCTGTTCTTACCGATTCGGTCCCTGTTGGAAGAGATCATTGGCGTAGTATACAAAGTTAGATACGAAATTTATCTTCCTCAACTTTGTTCTATTTGTTTGGCTTTTGAGATTTTGACATGACTGGCGGTTTGGGAAAGATAAAGAGAGAGGAAAGAATAAAAGAGTTGAAGGGTAGGGGTAAGTAAACTTGGAAGGGTAAGCAAGGCAGAAAGAGTTGAAGTAACAAGAACTAAAAATTGAAAAGTGCCAAGTTCGTAAACTAAAAGTCAAAACTGAGAATCAAATATCAAGATGTAAATTTCCCTTCAGTAGAAAAATGAATCAAAATGAGTTTGTGGATTTCACATTCAGACCTTTGTTTTTGAAATGTTATGTGTAATGCGACTTATCTTAATGTAATTTGAGCATCAAATATCTATATGTATATCCCCATCCCCATTTTCATTATTCGCTTAGTATATCACTTACTGGTTTTGAATGTTGCTATATATCATCAGTATCAGTATCAGTATCAGTATCAGTATTTCCATCATCATCTCCATTCAGGCCTCTTAGAGCCTTCAGATTCCATGATTACTAGCACCGAACACTACCACCATTACCAACCCTAACCTCAGTCCTCACACTTCCCCTCTCTCCCTTGCTCCCTCTCTCAACGCCTCCAGACTTCCGAATCTTGCTCTAAACTATAAGCGAGAGAGAGTACACGCCCTTCCCCTTCTACCCATTCTACCCATTCTTCCCCATTCTATTGTCGGTTTGAGACAAACCAGATGACGTAGAACCTAAAGCGTAGGATCCAACTGTCACAGTGCATTCTATCCAAGGAGCTAGCTAATTACAGGAAGAAGCAAGTCTTATATAGGCCCTGCTACGACTAGCTCCTCTAATGTAGGCTATGAATGATTCAAGACCATCCATTTAACCTTTGTTCACACATCTATCTTTCCCTCTCTTTCCTATAACCCTTCCCTCCTGCCATTCAAAACAAAAATGTCGAGATATTCGTATTCCGCACTTCACACTTCACACCAAACATCACCGACTCTTTCCACAACAAAGGCAAACAAGTAGAAGCTATTTCACAAACTATCCTGCAAACCATCCTGCAAACCATCCTGCAAAGCGGCTACCTTTACCTACGGCACTTGACATATTCACACTTGACGTATTCACACTTGACGTATTCACACTTGACGTATTCACACTTGACGTATTCACACTTGACGTATTTATATATGTATATATACAACAGCCCATAAATCCGAGCATAAATAGACACAACCCATACCTCAAACGCCCCGGCCCAGAATTATCAATATAAACACAAAAGAAAGAAAGAAAGAAAGAAAGACCAAAGAAGAAAAGAAGAAAAGCATACCTATACCCCTATTCAAAATCCGAATCTTAATCCTAACTCCTAAATCTATAAATATAAATATAAATACAAATATAAATATAAACCCCAATCAATCTCCAATTCATCCCCAATACCAATGTATACCCTCATTCCTCAAATAATGCCCATGCTATTTCTTCCCTACTCACCTACTTACAGACCTATCATTGTAATTTTTAGCTAGATAGAATAGCTTTGTTAATTGTAATTTGATAGAGTAGATAGAGTAGATAGAGTAGATAGAGTAGATAGAGTAGATAGAGTAGATAGAGTAGATAGAGTAGATAGAGTAGATAGAGTTGATAGAGTAGATAGAGTAGGTCAGATAGAGTAGGTCAGATAGAGTAGAGTAGGTCAGATAGAGTAGAGTAGGTCAGATAGAGTAGAGTAGAGTAGAGCAGTACACAAACGCGAGCATACACTCGAGCATCCCAGGAGTATACAGACTTCACAACCCCGAGAGCATACAGACTCCCGAGCACCAAGAACACCAGCAGACCGCAGGATAGCGATTCACAAATCACGAACCACAATCCACAAGTCACAAATCACAAACTATAAACTACAATCTACGAATTACCATGGACATGCTATATACCATGTAATATATAATATACCAGAATGAGATAAGATACTACACAATTCAAAAATGAATGTTATCCATATGTATGATCTTTTTCAGAACTGTAAAAATCGTGAAGATATAGTATGCGGATAATATACGATGTATATAGCCGCCGTTGAAATACTCGTATTCACATTTTCACATCGTATCCGTATAGGTAGATAGATAGTAACTCAAAGGAGAGCCGATGAGTAAAGAGGTAATGTATCTGATCCGATCCGATTCGATATGATTGAATACACGAGGTCAGTTAATCCTCACCAATCCTCACCAATGCACTCCAACCCAACCCCAAACCTCCATCGTAAAGATATGCCATCTGGTCAGTCTCCAAACCCATCTCATGCACACCACCCACCAAGCATCTAGAACACCCCCAAAATAGCATTATGAGCATTAGTATACTTATACTGATTGTAACCCCAAGTGAGTCGAGTTCACCAATCTATTCAATTCAATCCAATCACCAAGCAAAGTCCAATCCTCCCCCTCAAAAGCGACAACCACGAAACCACACAAACAACCATACGACCATAAAAAAAAGAAAGCGATCAAAACCAAAGCGGTCAAACCAAACAAAAATCAAATAAATCAAAAACTTATTCCCTCACAAAAAAGAAAGAGAAAAAAAAGAGGATTACCCCATCGCCACTTACGCATGCAAATGCATATAAGCAGAGAACGGCATACTCCATCCGGCACTTCTATCCCCTGTTTTCATTTTGGGGTTTGCCGATGTGGTGGGGATTTATCCATTCGGTCAATTCGCATTTAATACCAGCCAGCCAGCCAGCCAGCTAGCCGGATGAATGAATGGATGAATTGTTGTGGTGTGGATGAATCAGACTGTCCATCGTACGAATCTTGGTATCTGCGGGGTTATAGGTAAAAGGTGGCGTGAACGATATGGGAGGTACTCCCACTCTTGAAGAGCTGTTTGGATGGGTGAATGCTCAGTATTTAGTATTCATTGGGTGGAAGCAAAGGATAGAAAAAGAGGTTGGGAAATATGTAAGTATGTTATTCTCGTGTGCATGCATACATACTATGCAAGCATGGGGTTTACCTGGCCATACGAAGAACTCTATCCGTATAGTTTTGTGCAGAGAGAATGTGTAGCTGTATACGAAGTATCTGTGTGGATATGATTGTCCGTGCCAAACAAACAAGCTTTTTGGCTGTGTGGCTTTTTCACGGGTGGATACTGAGTTCTCTCATCTCGCATCATATGATAGGGTTGGTAGGCGAAGAAGAGAGAGGTTCGTTCGTATGAAGTAGCGGTACTTATGCGAGATGTACGAAGTATGATGGGTGTTTGTGTTTGTTTATTGGGGTCTGATTGGTTTGATGAACACTCGAACCATGGAGGATGGACAGATCATTCGGAGGAAAGATTGAATGGAGTATTCTGTCCGTATCGATGACAGGTATTGGGTAAATCATGGACGGAGTGGATGGAGATAGAAGAGCGGAGCGGAACATTGGAAAGAAGGGGTTCAAATTATTCGTATGTGATACGCGTTTTTTCGGAAGTTATATTTCGAAATGCGTGTGTGATATCGATCGAGCACGGGCAAAAATTGGTTTTGAGAAGATAATAACGAAAAAAGCTAATGGCAGGTACCCAAGTCAAAGACCGAATAACTTCCATGGATAAAGTTCAATTTATTCTTTTATTTTTCTTTTGTTTGCTTGTTTGTTTGTTTGTTTGTTTGTTTACACTCTCTGGACACTCTCTCTCTTGATAATGTGTGACAATTTGTTGTATAAATTCATATCAAGAGTCCCGAGTGTACGAAATTGTGATTTCAATTCTAATCCTTCATGGATCACAAAATCGTAACATGAGAGTTGATTGGGGTGGGTCTGGGAAAATTATCATCGACAACACCTGCAGCACTAAAGCATGTCAATGACGACGAAAAGGTTTCAAATAGAAGTGGATAAGGGAGAAGACACCGAAGAGAAGAGAAAGAAGTCAGGGAAGTAAGAAGAGACCGTAATTTGGTCGAGATGATGAATTTGGATCCATTCTCTTGATTATTTTCTTGATGTGATTTCCGTGGTCCGTTCGGGGGGGATTCGTACCTAGATATTTATGTATCGGAGAGAAGATGTGGTTGATATGGCTGATGTGTATATGATATACGGACTCCGGAATCGTCAAATAGAGCGAACTGCAAGATAAACTTCTCACGCGGCCATGCCGAACCATTTTGAGATGTATTTGTCCTCTCTTGTCATGATGAATCTTCTCGCTTGGATTGGATCGGAGTGGATGGTGGAATTTCTGCAGCTAGTCCCTGACTATCAAGATACTTGGATAGTTATAGATTAGTTGTGCTCGGCAGTGTTGATTATTGACAGCAGTGATTTGCACTCCATTGACGAATGATACGAATAGAATGAAAGACACGGCAGGATGGATAGAAGAAGAAAAGATAGTTCTTGGTGGATCGTAGAAGAAAGAAAAGTAGGTACGGAAAGGCAAAAGATGAAATAGGGATGAAAATGGAAATAAAAATCAAAATAAAATAGGGAATCATTAGAATTGACATCCAGATTGATATTTCGGGCGTCTCGGGCGTTTGATGTTTTCCATTTCAGCTGTACCGGGGTGAATGTGAATGTGAACGTGAGCGTTGGTTGTATAACTGAAAATGCATCTCGCATATCTTTTGCTTAATTGATGTTGATGATTGAAGATCGAATGGTCAGAGATACCTTGGTACCTGGATATGCTTGATCGATGCTTGAAATGTGCACAGTCATGATGAACTGGTGATGGATTGTGCACTGTGAATGGTTGTTGTGTACTCGTGTAGTAGTAAGAGAATTGACAAGACGGGAACGGGAAGGGAATTAGTTTGAAAGAGGGGGAAGATGATGATTATAATGGGTTAAACATGTAATGCTGCTTTTATGTTGTATGATTAGATGCATATTTAGATGCTGTTAGATGCTGTTAGATGCTGTTAGATGCATATGTAGATGCTGTTGGATGCTGTTGGATGCTGTTAGATGCATATTTAGATACTGTTGGATGCTGTTGGATGTATATTTAGATATTGTTGAATGCTGTTGGATGCTGTTAAAGACTGTTAAAAACTGTTAAACACTGTTAGAACTTGGATGCATTCATTACTTGCATATCTAGTCCTCTGTAGTAGATTTACATGTCCACTAGGCTTGGTATGGAGTACATAGCAAAAGCAAGTCATTATTAGGTCGAGAGAGAGATATTTCAAGAAAAAGGATTCATCGAACCAGTACGATAAATAGCAATTTGGTTTCGAATTGATCAGGAGTTCACATCGTACACGGTACACAACACCGAAAGAAGAATTATTTAATGTCAGTGTTGAATGTCCAAGGGAAAAGAGATCTCATGCGGTATGGTATCGCTAGTCATCCACCAAGCAAACGGAGGCGTTTTTCCAAGAAACTTTCCAACGGTTCAAAGGCAGTCAAAGTGATCGGGTCAAGCACCCACTTGTCCGATACGAGTGCCACCATGCCATACCATGCGGGAGGGGGAGGAACGATGAGATGTTGTAGATGGTGAGGTAGGTGGAGGGTGGTGATGGGTGGTGGTGAGTGGTGGCTAGGTGAGCAAGATAGATGTGATTTGATAGCGCAGGGAATGGAATGAAATATCAGAATTTCTTCCATCTCTTGACCACCATCCATTGTTTACCTACTTCTTCTCCCTCCCGGACCTACCATTCTCAACTGACACTGACACCACGGCGGGTTTTGAGTTTGAGAGGTTCAAGACATTTCTCTCAATTCATCTCCCAAACACATCATCTCATTATCGACCTAGGTCCTAGGTACCTGGGTCCAGTACTCTAATTGAAACTATTGCAAAGCTAATTCAGCCTCATACACACGAGCAAGACTAGCATTCCTAATAGCTTCGCAACGGGACGAGACCATTTTATGAAACACTAGGTCGGAAAGGGAATAAAAAGAAAAGAAAACCAGTCGAATTCACAATTGACCAATGATATGTCTGGAACGAGACATGTATATTAATAAAAACTAAACTTAACATAGGACACATCGGTCCACCAAGAAATGTTACTTGCCGCTTTCATTTCAATTTGGGCACACACGACGCTTTTTGCTTCAATAGCAAGACTAAATAAAGATCTTTTGTACTTGACAAAGATACTAACTGGTGAACTTGTGAACTTGTGTACTAGACTGGGTGCCTTTCTACCTAGGTACACTCACTTACTTACCACTTACTTACCACTTCCATTCAGTCAAACCTGGAATTTTCTGGATCTATTATCAATCTATTTTCCTACCTTTTTTTTTTTACTGCCTTTCCCTATCTACACTATCTACACTATCTATCCATCCATCCATCCATCCATCCATCCATCCATCGCGCTTTCTCTCTCCTCACTCCTCACTCCTCTCTCCTCACTCCCTCTTCCTCTCTTTCCATTTCCATACATCTCCTCCCTCATCATCTCCCTCTTCCTCCAATTACAAAACTGTACTACTACTACTACACTACTACACTACTACACTACTACTACTACTACTCCCTCGAAACTCCACATTAAATTAATCTCCTACGAGTTCCCCATTTTCCTTTTTCGTCTTCTTCCTCTTCCTCCTCCTCCTACATCCACCCTTCTCGTCCTCTCTGCTGCTTTTCTTACATCACCACAAACCTCAACTTTACATTCGTTCTCATTACTTTCGCTTTTTGAAGACGGGGAAGGATTATACCAATCTCTCAGTAATTTCAAATTTGGTGAAATGGCTATCATTGTCATCACCATATGACGGATTGATTGGATTAATTAACTGGTTGATTGATCGACTTCTTTCAATGGGATACCTTGATTGATATCTCACATCCTAATCCCGTTCGTTTGCAATCCCGCATTCCACCCTCCCCCGACATTCCATTAACTGTTTTTTCCGGCAACAGCTAAGACATACATGATCATCGATAACCTTACGATTGGAAGAAGAAGAAGAAGAAGAAAAAATCCATAAAGTCAACACGGAGATACTTACTCCTCAAAAGTAATTGATCATGTTTTATTCGCGGCAAGATTCTTATCGACTTGGGGTCGTCGCGATATGCCTCTTCGCCTTTCTCAAACATGTCCAGGGAGTATCTATGGAGTATTGCTCAACCTTGAATACAGGCTCAGGCAGTGCCAGTAAGTCAACCGTCATGAATCAATTGGAGACTTCCAAGTACTGATCCTGACCTTTGTGTAGATTCCTCTATCTATCAATCCGATGGTCTATGTTACGATTTCTGCTTGGATGAATATGCATTTGCTGTGGTACAAGGATCAGAATGTTGGTGTTCAAATTATGTGCCTGGGACGACATCTTCTACGAGCGATTGCGACACTCCATGCCCAGGGTATCCGGATGATACGTGTGGTGGAGATAGTTTATATGGGTACATGTCTTTGACACTATCTCCATCAGGAACAAAAGGAGCTGCTACTACATCGTCGACGTCGACTTCATCTGAGAAGGTTAGTCCTTGGATACAATCCCTTCTTCTCCTTTCCTCTCCCAACCTGAGTCACCATCTCCATGCTTTTCCGTGTGCCTTAGCTGGCAACCCATTTGACTTCTTTTCCACGTTAGGTAACTACTTCGACTTCGAGTCCTGAACCAGTGACAACTTCTTCTTCAACTGCTGAAGCCACTTCTTCTACTGTTTCACCCGTACGCGACTTTCTCTGATTTCAAATTTATTCAATTTTTTTAATATCTATTTTGAATTAAACAATATGCAAAGTCGCCAAGCTAACTTTTCCGAATAGAAAACTACTTCATCAACTAGCGCCACAGAAGCATCCACTACTTCAACAATACCACCAACTACGGTCGCCGCCCAGAAATCGTCTTCGTCTACATCTGGCTCGACAAGTTCTACATGGACACCTACTCCAGTCATATCCCTCGAGACTATTACCGGGCAAGTTCGAACGGTTACTGTTACCCCAACTGCACCACCAAATTCAAGCAGCGACTCGTCGGTTTCGGAAGGAAATGGAGGTTTGACAACTGGCGCGGCTGTGGGTCTCACGATTGGTCTGGTAGCTTTAATCGCAATTATCGCTGGTGTTACATACTTCTGTATAAGGAAGAGAAGACAAGAAAAGGCTGAACGATATGCAGCCGTGAACAGTCGAAGGGAAAGCTTAGCCGGTGTAGTCGGTGTGGGTGGACCAATACCATCGAGAACCATGAGCGAAAATTCACGATTTGTTCTCGGCACCGATGGAAAACGCGTTGTCGAAACGTGGGAACCTGAATTACATACACCTGGATCTAGGAGGAGTCAATTGATGCCTGTGGATCCAAGATTGGATCCTTTTGCTCCCGTCTATCAACGTGGAGACAATAAGAGTCGGGAGAGTATCAATACTATTCGAGATGATCACGATTACTCAAGGCGAGTTCATCAACAAGGACCAATACTTCGAGCTGTCAACCCTGATCCCGATTAACAATGAATGCATCCTTTCCTTTCTCGCCACACACGATATTACGAACCTTCTCTTTCCACCTTTAGAAACATACAGGATTTGAACGTTTTCACCGCAATTTAGGTGAACGTTGGGAGTTTTCAGCGAATCATCTCGGATAATACCCTTCCCGAAGGCAGCCAGAGTTTAATTGAAAGATCTGGGGCTCATACATAAAAAGCACTTGGAATACGTATCATATTCAACACTTGCCAAATTAATAATGGTAATTCGTCATATGCATACGACAATCCTTGGTGTGGCTAGTTTCGGCAAACCTTTTCATTTTTCATTTCAAACTGTATTCATAGATTTTACACGCACAAGCGATCGCCTGGTTCCATATTGGATGAGATGCTCAAAAGAGATGTCTTCTATTCTTTGAACTTGTTATTAAGATGCATATATGTGCTTAGTGGAGGTGAGAGGAAATAGGTTAAAAAGCAAACGGTGGATTGTACATACATTGGGGATTGAAAATGAATTCATCTCGGAAAACTTCTGGCTTGTTAATGAGTTGCTGGGATGGGTGTAAGTGGATAGGAATACGGTTCCTGGGATGATCCAGCGAAACATAGGTACATGGACATACAATATTAAATATTAAGAAATTATTGTGTGTTGATTGGATTTGATGCGTCTGTGCGTGTGTGAGTGAGTGAGTGTAAGTGCAAGTGTAAATGCGAGCTGTGATTCTTTTAGTGAGTGAGTGGATTCGATCAAGGGAGATGTATATAAATACTGATTTAGGGGTTGTGAAGAGGGCTTGCTCGGATAAAACATCGATGAGAGTTCAATTTAGTTTTTGATATATAGCAATACCCTGAGGTCATCGACCTTGAAACTCGCTTGAGATGGTTGAGGGGGGGTGGATTTGGTAGTGGAGAGGGCAGAGAAAGGTGGTGAAAGATGAGAGGTAATAGATGAATAGATGAGATGTATAGTGAAGAGTATATATAGTATGTAGGCTGATTTTAGCAAATGGCTGATCTTAATTATTCAAAATGTAGAGGCAAAATTTGGAATTTAGGAGAGGGGAGGGGATAGGAGTTTTTTTTAGTAAGGTTTTTTAGGTGAAAAGGGGGAGAGGAAAAGGGGGAGGGAGAGGAGAGAGGGAGATGGGATGGGATGGGAAAATGAGATGAGATATCTATAGGGGAATGGGGAAGTAGAGACATGGGACGGAAATACAGGATAAGAATAGTTGTATAGGAAGATGAGATGAAAAGGTGAAAAGGGGAAGGAAGTGGTCGTTTGTGTTTTGTAGGAAGAGATGAGAGGGATTCTGAATTTTGAATTTTGAAAGAGATAAGGAGGAAAGAGGAGAGAAGAGAAGAATGCTTGGATAGAAAGGAGAAGAGAAAGGGATGGAGAAGAAGAAAGGAAAGAAAAGATGAGTGTCGATATTTTTTAAACAGAGATGAGAGGAATTCTGGATTGTGAATTTACAAAGAGATAAGAAGAGTGCTTTTCTCAAAGGGAGAGAGAAAGAAATTGAAGTTCCTTTTCTTTTCTGGAGGCGGGATGGGGAAGGGGCCGAGTATGATTGTGTTGAAGTTGTGTTGAAGTGATGTGGAAATGAAATCGAGGGGAGATGGAGGATTTAGGATGTAGGATGAGATGTGGGATGAGATTCAGGATGGTATCTCAGAGTTGAAATATACTTTCTGGTGGGATTGAGAATTGGGTGAGAATTGGGAATGGGTCTGAATATTTGTGGAGATTTTTGAAAAATTGGGTGAGGGGAGTTGAGTTGAAGGGGATAGATGGCTGTGGTTGTGGTAAGTTGGTACTAGATGCTAGGTATTAGATACTAGGTATGCCGGGTATGTATATGCGATTCCATGGAGAAGTTCTTATCGATTGGGTGGGCGGTGTGTGATTGTGTTAGGAAATGATATTCTCTTGTTTGGAGATGGAGGATAGCGATGGGGATGGAGATGGAGAGGAGTATTCCTTTATGTGTTTGAAATCGACCATTGGAGAGTTCTTGAGGGGATGGTAGGCATAATTGGGATATTGTGAAAGGAGATGGATTTGAAGCTTGGGAGAAGGAGGATGTATGAAGTGTGTGAGGTGTATCTATTATATGACAATAAAATTTGGAGATAAGAGGGGGGAAACAATACTGATAATGGAATATCACCTCGATTGCATAAGTATATAGTTTATCAAATAATAAGAGAACATGATTTGCGTAAAAACTTGGTGACTGATTAGTTTATAGTTAGTTTGGAGAATCTATCTAACTAGTGATGAGAACCTCGCTTGTTTACTAGCTTGTGGAAGATAAATCTTTCTCAGAATAACATCTTGTGATTACTTTCTTTGTACTTGGTTTCGTTGAACTGATGTTATGAGAGTAGATGAGTTTATATAGGTATTATAAAGGTACTCAGCTCTTGATTTGAAGATAGAGAGCGGAATCGAGAATGAGAAGTGAAAACGGGGATTAGGAAGAGTATTTACTTGATGTGGAGTTTTAACAAGATTCACTCACTATACATTCACACTACCAGAGATTTGGAACTCACGCTTCTCATATTCATCCGAGATTAGTAAGTAAATGAAGTTCCTCCCCCCTCCTCCCCCCTCCTCCCCCCACTCCCTATAAAAGCTCACCAAGTTATCGAGACTGGAAAACATTGACATCTATCACAACCAAAAAAAGTCGAGGCTAGGTTGAATGACTGATAGTTGGTTGTATATTGGATCTAATTATATTGGGATGGCAAGGGAGGCGGATGAATGATTTGACATCACAAGAGGGTTTGTAGTAAGAATTCGACAATCGTCTGGCGTCGATTATGTGAGTGGAAGATGACAGTGCTCATACTTTATTAGCATCTTGGTTTTGTTGAGAATGGTATCAGTTGTACTTGTAATTAATATCTCTTTCTCACGGTTTTAATAGTTGAAGAGATGATACTAACTGATAAGAGTGAAATGATATAAGTATATGGAAGTTTATTAAATTTCCCACCTCAAGAAATCTCGTCGATGGTACCTAATTACACGATTCTTAAGCGAATCTGAATATCGTGACTTATTCTTTCTCTGTTTCTTCACGTTTCATAAGTGCTGAAATTTTATTATATTATACTTTTATAAGTATCTCCAGTTATTGAATTAGAAAAAGATCGCGTCTTGTGTGGATGAATATTATAAATAAATAAGAGTTGATAATAACGGAATTTCTAACGGATTGATACAAAGTCACGCGTAGTATCAAGCGTTAATCTTAATGACGAGTGATTATAAATTACACTGGATGATATCTCAAATGATTTCTTCGTTAGATATATTAGATGGTCACCGACTGGATAAACAAAATGCTGCTGTTGGGGTATTTTGATAGGGAGTTGGTGTTGTTTTAATGAGGGACAAGGGGTCTGGATTATTACTGAGAATTGTCAATGTATTGTTGGGCTTTATTGTTGCTTGAAGGATTTTGTTTGTTGTCAGTATGATGTCTATAGGTATGATTATTATTAAATCTCGATTAGCATTCAATGGATGTGTGAATGGGATAGATATGCGTGACAGCGAGAAAAGTATACCTTGATTTTATATCCACATTTTTTGAGGAGAAGTTTCAAAGATATACGACCGAACCCCAGATTCAAGAATTACAAGAAGCATTTCTTGATAATGATAATATTTTGATCTTGGCTTTTCTTGGTTGACGAGGAAGTTCTCAGGGGTGGTTCATCCAGGCGACTGGCTTTGTGAATTAGCGTGCGCATACTACTTTTTCACTATTAACTAAATCATCCGGATGGAATTTCGAGTGCTAGATCTAAAAATCGCTCAACAATTTACATACTAGAACTCAGGATAGAGTCATGGGCAAAGTATAAAGACACGGCCTCTGCTGGCTTCGGTTGTAAATACAATGATTGTGCTTGAATATTCTCCGATTTAGGTGGTGCATCTAGAGTCCTTTCAATTATAATACTTTAATATAATTGAAGTGGTGTTGTTCTTGCAATGAGATTAAGTATATGAGAAACTCCTGGGATTGGAGTATTATGATGATGATGATGATGATAAAAAGCGGCTTTGACAACAACATTGCTTTCGCTTGTCACTGTCGAAGGTATGAATATCAAATAAGAGTCGATCATATTTGTGAGCATTTAGCAATATCTGATAGCGCTCAATTAGTCTTTGAGCAAGAAGGCACAGGGTTTCAAGATTCTCATCCAGAAAGTTATCTCAATGACCTGCTCGTCTACAATACCTTAGTACAGCTAGATAGAGAATTTCGAATAGCTTCATCTTAAGCATTTCTATACAAGATATCATTATAAGGTCTTGAACCTTTGAATTTCCATGTGTCAGCACGAGTATCTTTGTCATATATCGAAATATCGTGACTGGGCGGGGGGGGAGGGTTAAATTGACTAAGAATGTTCCTCAATTTAAATCGTCAGCAGCTCTACGAGAAACATTGATTAAATCTGCCATGTTCAGATTTGAGAAGATTTGGGTGGGCATTTAGTAAGAATTTATATTCAATTTTTGATGAGAGTGTATTTTTAAGGGAAACGGGGGGCAAAATCTTCATGGTTATATCAACGTAGTAGTCGTGTTAGGTTGTCGTTGTCGTTCAAAAACATTTCTCGCCAACAGTCATGAATACTTTCGTTCGTGACTTTATTATCATGTGGCGAACACAGGTTACATATAGAATTATCTTACCTCGAGATCTGACTTGATCGTATCGACACAGATTGTCAATCTTCAAACTAGGACGTTTGACCATGCAGAATCATCAACGATCTTTACCAGGAGACATTGTTGAGATTGGGTAAAGAAATTGTGTGATTATATACTCATGCAGATACCGTAGAAATCAAGGCGCTGCTCATTCAAAAGATTGCCGAGTATTCAGGGCTCCATTAATGCAGGCCACAGACCTACAAGTCTGTGAACTTCCAGAGTCAGGCCTTCAAGTTCTAATCGATCAATCACTACAT